ATGTTAGGGTTTGTTTTGGTCATTTTGTTGCATTTCTAATTCTAAAGGCTATCAAATCCAGCAGTTTTAACTAATGTTGAATAAATATTTCTAGCATCAAAACCTTACTGCTCAGCTGTATTTTCTATGACGTCATGAGACATTTGTGTCCACTGACCTGGTAGGGGTCAGGACCAGGCAGAAGATGCCGTACGGCTCCTCGGACAGTTTCTGCAGCACAGGTAAGACAAACGCTGCCGTTTTCCCACTTCCGGTCTTGGCACAACCCATGCAGTCCCGACCTGTGACAAAATACACCTCCATCATTAAATGTACTGTTGGTCACTAAAATAGACATTTACGCAAAACAATATTTACTTAAAACAAGGTATCATATTCTTTATCCATCCCCGATTTTATAAGAAAAAGAAGTCCAAAGTAGAGTTTTTATTCCGTCTGTTTTACCTTCGAGTATGGCAGGGACACAGTTTTCCTGGACAGGAGTGGGTTTGTTGATCCCCAGGTGTTTACACTGTTGAACCAACCAGTCTGACAAACCCAGCGACGACACGTCCTCCATTTCCCTTTTATCCGTTCGTAAACTCAAGCTMGGAAAATTACCTTGTGCGGTTGTTGTGATTAAAAGGTTCAAAAACGGAGAAATCCTCGTGTTGAATCCACGGCCGCCATGTTTTTTCGCATCGGCGTGACGTCAAKCAAAAGCCGACCAATGTTTCTTTACTGCCCCCTGCTGGTTACATGCTGAACAGACCACCGGACGTTATTTGTTAGACAAACGAGGGCCCGTTTTATATTGTTTTTAAGGCTTGTAATGCACCTCTTTCTTAAAACCTCTCACAGGAATGAAATAGCGCGACATTAGATATTATTTAACCTCTGRATTTTGGTACGACACCATTTATTTACTTAAAACATCAAAAAGAAAAAAATTGTGTAGGTCTTCTGGACGGGTTCTTCTCTAATGAAACGTTTCGTCTCTTCTCCAAGAGACTTCTTCAGTCTGAGAG